TTTGTTTCTATCGGGTAAGGATAAATTAGGCTGGATTAGGTTAGGTTTGGGTTATTTGTGCTTGCATCCGTATAGAACTACAATAAATGGAAGTAACAAGTTTAAAAATTGTTTCTGTCTCCACCTCCGTCTCCTGCCACAGCTTTGTTGCGTATCATTATACAGTGCAACACATAACATCAAGAAGAGATGTTATGTGCTGCTGATAGCGTGTTACTTTACTCGGGATTTTGGCATGGCTCACGTGCTACGGCTTGAATTATTATATAATTTTAAAGTGCTAAAACCTTGGACGAAAATAGGCCAAATATTGGTAAACAGGAAATTTTAAAGTAATAAATTTAATACGCCAGAACATAATCGTGAGTATCGACTCACAGTGGTCGGAAAAACAATTTTGCTTCGGAAGTTTTGTAATGAAGGTCACGTGTCGTTATGAGAAATGTTTCTTTGGACTTGTCTGGATATATTTATGAGATGCTTTTGTCTCCATCGATGCGTAAATGTGAAGAGTTACGTAAATAATTTTTTCCTGTGATTCAGCATTTTGCCATGAAGCTGAAGTATGGCTTATTTACTCATTGTTATTCTGTAACGGTGCGTCTTGGAAGGAATGAGATGCAATTGTGATAGGGATTTGAGAATGAATAAAAGGGGATAGAGAAAAGGTAAGATGTTGGAAGAGAATTGTGGATAAGAACATAATGGGAAAGAAATTAAGTTACAAAAGATTTTAATGGCCTTTTTACATTAGTAGGATTATTAGTCATCGCCGTTGTGATTACAGAGTACTAGAATACCAGCAGTCACGAAGTCTTAGATTCGCGTTGTTCTCGGAATAGTGGGACAGGTAATATAACTGGCAGTTAGGTGCAAGTGAGTCGGTAATCAGACTTCGACAATGATCTTTTTGAACCATGACCTCATTCAGTCACTGTTTTTACACTTGACGAGACTGGGCTTCAGCCTTGTAAAAATAGTCCGAACGACCATCGATTCTGATTAGTTGTTTATCTGCGTCCTGTGTCGTTTGATTACCAGAGTGTGTATTAACACTGCAGTTCAGCATAAACATGAACAGTTTGTGTCAGGTGCTCTCTAGGACACAATTCAACTATTCCCAGATATGTTCTGCTTTTTTGCCTTGCAAGGACAAGTTGTAACCCTGGAAATAGCTTACGAGATAACAGTAGGTTATAACTGTAACCTCTTACGAGATATTTTCACGGCGGTGGAAAATGAGAGCAATGTTGTTCTGGGATGTGACGCCATGAAGCTTGTTTGTGATTGTAGTGATCTGAGTTGAGTTGACAGGCGCGCACCAATCACATGTCGTGCGGCTTGGAATGGGGTAGGAAGCGAGGGAACATAAAACGCAGTGGTGCCAAACGTATTATAGCATTTTGTAACAATGGTTTCCATTCAATGCGAAATGTTGCTGTTACTTGTTAAGTTTTTATGTGTATTATTCCTAACTTGTCATCCTCTTCCTATGCAAATGCAGATCTTCAAAAAGGATACCTATAAGGCGTGGAGTGAACTTGTGGCATCTCTTATACCGAGTTTGGTTGGTTGTTATAAGGCGTGGAGTGAACTTGTGGCATGTCTCTTATACCGAGCTTGGTTGGTTGATGTCTTATCAAGCTGAGGAGAAATATGTCTACTCAGAAACGTCAAAATATGAGTAATGCATTTTAATAAGTGCATCCTGTAGCTCGTAGATGGCTCGACAAATCATCTGCTAGAGAAATTAACTGTTATTTCTGACCTTGCGAAGCTTTCTGTTGATAATGAAGAAATTTAGTAGCCGTGCGGTGTTTAATTATACTTTTTATTAATAATGTGGAATAGTGATAACCCAGTCAGATAAGTGACGAGATACGGATCTTGTCAAAGGCATTAGGGTTTTTTATGACATACACGTTTACTGTTGACAATGCTTATTAAGGAGGAGTGTATTATTTTGCTTGCATTTCGATACATATTCACCACAGTGGAAAATATTTTACGTAAAAGTTGTAGATGTTAATGATATATATATATTCAATTAAATTCATTATACATGATTCCGTAACTTCCGGGCCGTAAGATATATCTGTTATTTCACAAAATATGGGAATTATAAAGAGGGGAAAGTTATTTCGCAAATGTTTTGCATAATTCTAACAGATATATGACACATGAATAAATAATTAACTAGAGTCTTATCCCAAAGAAGTTTAAATTATGCTTTACGTGAAAATACAATATATGAATACATTTTAAACATGCAACAACAAAAATAAAATTTTAATGCGAACGGAACAGACATCTCTTATTACCGGAGGTTTCGTATTTTTTATAAATTGTGTTTGGTTGGAAATATCATAATATAATATGGCTGGAGATAGTGCTGACCTCCAAGTGGCTGTGACCTACAATAAATTTTGTTCGTGTGTAATTAAGTGGAGGGCAAATGCAATCAAACCGTGCTGTGCTGTGCTGTTCATCCTTTAGCAAATATGTTGAAATACGCTTCGTGCAGAACAGATTTATAAGGTGAATGAATAAAGGATTCGTAATGAGACAGACGCCCTTAGATTTCGTGACGTTCCGAGTAGGAATTCACGACTCCTTCGACCTTTCACAAAACTCCAGGATGCGATGCATGATCAAAATTAAATGTACGTGCACGCAGTGTTCTAAGAAACACAAAGCAAAAGCTAATTATGTTTTTTAATTTTCCAAATGATATTGCAAATGAACTGTATTAAGTGATATTTATTGCAAGGGAATCTATAAGTGATAATTATTACAATGAACTGTGTTAAGTAATCCATTGCTCTAACCTACATTAATTCTTTATTCGTAATTATATTCTATGGCTTACGGGACTACATAACTTGGTTTAAAATGGTGAATAAAATTTTGAATGATTCTTTGGTTTCTTAACGTTGATTAGTGAAATATAAATGAAGATAAATCGATTGATGAAACAAAGCGAGGCGGAACTAAAATTATATCTAAGTTGGAAGAAAAGAAACATTTCTAGATGGGAAAAGCCACGAGGAGGAATACCATTTGAGGCATAAAGAGAAGGAGGAGAAATCAGGGTGGAAGAGTGTGAAGGTAACGAAATATATGAGATGAAATTTCAGGTTCTCATGGCGGCGAGTATGAAGATTGTCTTTTGTGATATTGCTTCATGCACTCTGGTAGTTGTTTACCGATGTCTAAAACGTGCTCCACTCCGAGACACTCGTTACTTTTGTGTCTTGAATTGCATTCTAATTTTAGGTGTTTGTATGACCATGCTAGTTCATTGCTCAAGTTTGGGCGTGGAAAGGACACGTGTGAGAGCCAGTAACATGGTTAATAATAAAAGAACCGACTATTATTTGTATCTGCTTTTATTACTAATATCACGATCAGCGATGAGCATAGAATTAGAAGGACTTTGATTAAAATATTTCACACATAAAATAGTTAAATAATAAACTTCGTTGTAACATAACATATAAGCACTTACATTTTGGTGATCATGAAGGACAGATTTATATTTGTAGGCTGAAGATGATGTATGACACATCGAGACACGTAACTTGAATTTTATAATTTACGTAATGATAAAACATCATTGTTTACTCTACTTTTCTAATTAATTGGTAGGAAACGGGGCATATGGATAACAGTGCAATGCACTAGAACACACGTTTCTACCACGATTTGTAATATTACAGACTCCTCATTCATAATAATCGAAGAGGTATTATTAACTGGTCGTCGTGAGAGTAGAATGTTCGTCATTTCACCGTGATTAAATTCACACTTGGACCTGCTGCGAAGTTCTTCCTTACAAGGACACTTATTATGTTGTGTTTATAGTCGTACAAGGTGGACAGGTTTCCTTCTGATGTGTGCTGGAAGAGATAAGTGCTGATTTGCAGTATTGAAGATTGCACGAACGTCACAGGTTTCGAGGTAGTCACGCAAAGACATCTTCATTTACCCACACCCTTGAACTTTGACTCATTCCCAGCTATTATTCTCAGTTTTGTCAGAATCCTACGTTCGAACTGCATAGACTATTTATTCTTTGTGTCATAATTATTTAGACACCGTCGCGGGCTGCTGATGAACGTTTCTCGCGTCGCAGACAGGCGTGCGCCCTGAACTCTCTTGCCTTTGCAGACAACGACGAATCGCTTTGCCAAGCATAATTGTACGTTCAGATCAATGTCTCTTCCAAACCTTTTCTGCACAGCCGTCACTGATTTGGTTTCGTAAAACCACAGCACGCAATTAACACTCTGCACCTACCTCGTCGCCATTTTAACTACTGCGATTGCAGTACACTTAGCGGCTGTAGATTAAAGCAACGAAGCGCGCGATTCTGTTTTGTGTCCTACATATTTCATTATTGTGCAAAACGGTCGTTTTAGAACAATTTGTCAAAAGTGTGAAGATTAGAATATAACAATAAGCATACAAACAAACTGTTTACATTGTAAATTACACTAGTGCCAAAAGTGTTTCGACCTCAAGAGGTTTGGCACTAGTGTCATTTATAGTGTAAACAGTTTGTTTTGTTATATTCTAATACACTACACGGTAAGTGTGAAGTCTATATTATTATATTATTTATATTATAAAAATTTGTGATTCCTCGTTGTCGTCAATAAATTACGTCATCAACAATGCCGAGTATAAACAAACTCGGCATTGTTGTGGAACACGACAATGCCGAGTACAACACAACAATGCCGAGTTTAGTGTCTTACTCAAGATTTTAAAACGCAACCAACCCCCCCGAAAGGGGGTTGGTTGCTTTTTAAACATTTGATCAAGCTCCCCCGAAAAAGGGTTTAGTTTAGTTTCTTACACAATATTTTAAAACGCAACCAACCCCCCCGAAGGGGTTCGTTGCTTTTTAAAAACTTGACCAACCCCTCCGAGGAGCTCCGAAAGGAGCGTTCTGCCCTAGTTTATTTATAATCGCTGTGTTTTATTCTCTGTTTCAGCCATGTCCGGGGAGGCGGACAACATCGGTGACGTATCCAACAGTCTGAATGGAACGGGTGGTGAGTTTTTCCTATTATGCAGTGTTAGATGTAATATAATACTAAAATTGATAAATTGTATTTGGGGGTCTGAAACGGCTTAATCTAAATTATAATTGGGACCAGTAAGAAGTTTATTATAAATACAGTGATAAAACGTCGAGTTTTACGTAAGTAATGAAAACTTGATTTTACTCCGTGTACGGTAAGGCGCTTGATTAGGCAACACACGGAACCTGTCTGACAGCAGCTTCAGTGGATGAACACGGCTGTCTCTCACGACGAGGGAAATAAAGGCGAACCGATCTAAGACAAGAATCTGCGGTTCCTTGCAGCCGCTGTCTTTCACCGCAGAACTCGGATTAAAAAAGACCGAGAATCGTTCTGAATTCACTACGCTAAAGTCTAGTTTCTTATTTAATTGTGATTGTGTGAGATTATGTCGCCAATGTGCCTATTGTTCATCCTCCAGACGATACTTCAGTGAGCGTGAAGTAACGGTGGAGTGATAGTGACGGGGGAAAACCGAAGGTCTCAGAAAAAAAACCTGTCGCAGTGCCAATTTGTCAACCACAAACACAAGGAAAGAATTGTGGCTGTTTTAAAACAGAATTTCTAATGTGCCATTAGAGAAGCGAATTAATTAACAGGATGTGGCGTGTCACGTATCTGCTTTGTGACTGTTTAGCTCGGAACACGAAGTGTTCTTAGTATTGAAAGAGGCCGTGCTGTAAATGTAAAAGTGGCGTACGTCTATCCGCAACTACGTGTGGTCGGAAAATGAAATTCTGAAAGGCCCTATACACAAACACAAGGAAAGAATTGTGGCTGTTTTAAAACAGAATTTCTAATGTGCCATTAGAGAAGCGAATTAATTAACAGGATGTGGCGTGTCACGTATCTGCTTTGTGACTGTTTAGCTCGGAACACGAAGTGTTCTTAGTATTGAAAGAGGCCGTGCTGTAAATGTAAAAGTGGCGTACGTCTATCCGCAACTACGTGTGGTCGGAAAATGAAATTCTGAAAGGCCCTATACAAAGATCCGTGGTCTGAAATTTCGTATTTAACGTTTCATGTCAAACGCCCACAGACGGAAATTTTGATGTAGCTCAAGGGTATTTGTTATTAGTTCTACACAATTTATGTTGCATTTTGTAGTTGGCTGTGACAAAACGGTATTGATGGACAGCAGTTTATATAACATGTGAGATTAAAATATTATATATGATAAAGCGTAGAAAACTGGCCTCGTGATGAAACTATGTGGCCTGCAGAAGTATTTTTATGGATTTCGAGTGTGGTCTCTCTGTCTGTTTAAGAAATATCTCGATTAAGCAAAACCAGGTAAATTATTTTTCGGACAAGTTTTATAGATGTAGATGTTTCCAGTTGATTCGTTAAATGTTAACAGAATTAAACGTTTACGTATGCACAGCGTAAATTCATTTACATATGTATGTAAATTAGTTACACAGCTCTTACACTTCGAAGGTCATTTGTGCCTTCGTACGCTTATCCAAACATTTTAAGTGCTGTAAACGGTGAGTTCGAGTGAAAAAATGACCATTTAATCTGCTGTTTCTCTAGTTATATCACGTAATTTGTAAACGTATTCTCCAAGCAACGATAAAGAATGTCATTTTGTGTACTTTTGATGGCTCAGTAATACATTTCTCCATAATTTTATGTTTATTAAAGTTCCTTTTTACGTCATCGACCAGAAAAGTCTGTTTGAGATATGATTTTATTGTGTTCTTCAGACATGTTTATACCACACATCTGTGTTGTCTGAATTGTCATATTATTAATGAGTAATTTCCCCCAGATATATTTTCTCTATCTTTGATCTCCACATATTTTCATTAAGTAACTTAAGTAACTTTTTCTCGTGTTATTTTCAGAGAATACCTATGAATTGATTTTCAACAAACAAACAAACAATTGTCCTTAAAACAACTTAAAGCATAAATATTGACAGTATGCCCTCCACTGACAAGACTTTCTACCCAGTGTCATGTAAAAACGTCCACGAACTGATATTCAGTGACATAACTTGGCAGCCGAGCGTAGTGGAGGAATGCACATGAAATGGTCATCATTGATTACCTTCCCACCGAGTATCATAAAATTATTATCCACGAAATATTTCCGGTGATATACGTCCGATTGGTTATTATTACAAAAAGTCTATTAATTTATATTCCGTGTCTTAAACTAATGCCTTTAGCCTTTCTAATCCTCATAGACGACTTCGTTCACAGTATCGTGAAAAAGTACCGCTAAATGATTTTCATGCCTTTTGTCATGAAAACGTATCGACGATGTTATACTCTGTGCATAAAATGAATAGGCTGAATTCTTTCAAGAGTTACCACCTGACGCGGATCCAGCAACATTCCGTCTGGGACCTTATCCCCTTTTGAAACTGGTATATGCCGCGCTTAGTAAGCTGTGAGGAAAGAGACTGTCCAAAGTGGAGGGGGAGGGGTTTCACAGAAGGATCATGGAGTTTATAAGAAAAACGCAGGCGCAAAACGACTCTCACACAAAGTGGAACAGATCACTGTGACGTAACAGTTGGTTAGTTCTGCTCTCCTCTTCGTCATGTCTTCCTTTTCCGCAAAGGAATTGCAGCGGAAGCTGACATAGCCTAAAGCCCAATAACCTACGAGAATACTTTCTACAGCCCTGACCAAATGAACAACCAGCTGTTTGAAGATGTAGGACGTACGTTCAGATAATTATCCAAGCTCTTTTTATTTTGTGATAGAATAGTAATTACATCATGCGAGACACGACCTATTAAATACTGGTTGACGTATCACGAACATAACCTAAAAGATTCGCGCATCGCCATGTTGGTACATTTCATATCCTATTCCTCTTTTTCTGAGAGGTTACAAAAGTACCGCCAAAGAGCGTAATAAAAACCGGGTAATTTATTGTTTCTTGGGCTTTTTATGGCGCTGCCTCAACTGCAGAGGTTATACAGCGTTGGCTGTGACGTGAGTGTAATGATGAGAGGTGAGTCATAGGTCAAAAATATGAAAGGGGATTGTCGCGTTTTGATTGGAGTGAGGATACTGAGAAAGACCAGGACTCTGTTCAGACAGTGTGGCCGGAAACCCTGCGGGTATTGCTTTGGGGACATCCTGCAAATGTATTGAAAGGTTAGTTATGAAAATTCAGAAGCTATGCATTTATGTTTTAATGTTCAACACCTTCGGATATTTTTCAGTCCCGTTCAACAACCGCTAAACACTCTCCGAAACCATGTCTGTTTTTCTTTTGCGTTCCCCCTCCATGCTCCTATGTCGGCACGTCATGTTACTCGGTTAATTTATATACACAGACAATATCCAGACCAGCGCCAGTTGTTTAACTTTTACGTCACAATATTCCATTGGTTTACATATTGCTTACATTTGTATTAATACAGGTGCCTGTTTGACCGACAGACCCAGTGTTGTACGTTATCATGACAGACCGTCATATAATTCGCTTGAAACACAAATAATCCACCAACGCCACTTGTCTGTTTATCGTTTCCACTGCTAAAGCACCACTCTTTCATTTTATACCATGAAAGTAACACAGGTGGTTTGTTGACCCACGTATTCAGTGTTAAGTGTTGTCGTCAGCCACACAATTCTCCTTCCAGCGCCACCTGTCAAAATAACTTACTTTCCTAAAACGTTTTTTTTGTAACGTGGAATTAATGCAGTGTTGTAAAATGACGTGACAAGTTGCGTATAGTTCTTGTAACCTCCACTTTGAGATAAGCTTCCCCAGCGCCACTTGTCAGTATAGTTATTACGTCAGATATTTCCTTGTTTACCTTGGTAACGTGATAGTTCTGTATAAACTCTACAGATGGCGCGTTGTGGCATCTAGAAACCCGCCTCCTTAAACTTGTTTTCGAGGGGACACGCTTTTACGTGATTTGGATCCCACGTCTTCACGGTCGAACTCCGAACAGTGCTTTTCACTAATGTTGTTTGAAACTTTCGTGTAATGCATCTTGGCACAGTTTTATATTCACTGCATCCCGTGTTATACGTAACGTTCCGCCTGGTTTGCTGTTACATCGTCCACGTCTCGTGATGCTGTCCGTTCAGTTTTATTGTTTTGTATTTTTCTCTCATTCATGCCTCCCAAAAGATTAGTGATGTTAGCAGTGTGAATGAAAGTATATAAACTGTGAAGATACATCATAAAATAATTAATTTTATTTTTATACATTCTTATATTTATCAGTCTGTGTTCTTCCTAGTGCGTGATGTCTAAATTGTTCTGTATTTTCAATTTACCACTTTGTATTCATATTATCCTGGATTCGATTCTCGTTTTTAAAGATTTTTTTCTGGTTAATTGCATAGCAGACCTATAGGTCGCTACTGTTCCCTTTCAGATTCTTCCCAGTTCATGATTCGCACTGATTATTTCAATCGTTCCTCCATGGAGTCTGCGCAGTTGAGAAAGCGCTCTTAAGTACACTGAGAGGATGAATGATTATTTTCTGACTACATCCGTAGGATAAATAGGGTAATCAACGATCTCTGTCCTGGACGGTAATATCTGTAGCCATGTTCACAGACGTTCAGTGCGAAGTTTCTGGAGCGAGTAACTAGATCGGTTTATTGAAGGTCTTTGTTGATGATGGAGGCAGCAAGGACCTCCGAAACGTCGATAAACTTTTACCAGACAACACGGTGCAACAACCCAGAAGACCCAGATAGGTTAATTGTTATTAATTGGCTGCAGTTGATGATGTTCTGTTTCCGTTCAGACGAGTCGTGGTAACTCGTTCTCGTAATTTGCACCAAGTCTCTGTGAACTGGGCCTTTTTGAGGCACGGACTGACGAGTGAGAGAGAAGGAAATGCCTCAAGTTCATTCCTCCGGAAGAAGCAGCAGCGCCGCCAGGGATCGTGGCCAGTCTTGGAGGCCACAGCCATGTCTTCGTTCCCGCTCGTTAAATATCGTGATGTTATTCCTCATTTGATACGAAACAGAAAGGAG